ACAACAAATAACAAAATGTCCAACTTCTCCTGCAGGTGACTCCCGTTTTCGGACATTGCCGAGCCGCTGGGTTGACGATTCTACAACCATCCCAGCACACGCAAAGTTCAAAGGTGAGCTCCTCACATCTTCAAAAAAATAAGTAACAAAAAAATCATTTTAAATTACTGCAGCCCTGAAGAGATGTTAACTACCTCGCCTGGTACGCCGAACGTCGTGGTTTCGATCCCCACGTTGACGCCGCCTGCTGCTGTATATTTGGAGTCAGCTTCTCTCTCACCATCATCACGGTGGCTAGGGAGATGTTAACTACCTCGCCTGGTGTACAGGAGGTCGCGGATCCTATCCTGACCCCTGACAATACCTGCCTCTTTATATTTGGAGTCTGCGTCTCTCTCTCATCATCATCACGGTGGCTAGGGAGATGTTAACTACCTCGCCTGGTGTACAGGAGGTCGTGGGTCTGATCCTTACCCCTGACAATACCTGCTGCTGTATATTTGGAGTCTGCGTCTCTCTCTCTCTCTCATCATCATCACTATGGCTAGGGAGATGTTAACTACCTCGCCTGGTGTACAGGAGGTCGTGGGTCCTATTCTGACCCTTGGCAATACCTGCCTCTTTATATTTGGAGTCTGTGTCTCTCTCTCTTTCATCATCATCACGGTGGCTAGGGAGATGTTAACTACCTCGCCTGGTGTACAGGAGGTCGTGGGTCTGATCCTGACCCCTGACAATACCTGCTGCTGTATATTTGGAGTCTGCGTCTCTCTCTCTCTCTCATCATCATCACTGTGGCTAGGGAGATGGTAACTACCTCGCCTGGTGTACAGGAGGTCGTGGGTCCTATCCTGACCCTTGGCAATACCTGCCTCTTTATATTTGGAGTCTGCGTCTCTCTCTCTCTCTCATCATCATCATGGTGGCTAGGGAGATGTTAACTACCTCGCCTGGTGTACAGGAGGTCGTGGGTCTCATCCTGACCCCTGACAATGCCTGCTGTTGTGTATTTGGAGTCTGCGTCTCTCTCTATCTCATCATCATCACGGTGGCTAGGGAGATGTTAACTACCTTGCCTGGTGTACAGGAGGTCGTGGGTTCGATCCCGACCCTTCCCACGCCTGCTGCTGGAAATTTAGAGTCTGCGTCTCTCTCACTCTCATCATCATCACAGTGGCTAGGAGATGTTAACTACCTTGCCTGGTGTACAGGAGGTCGTGGGTTCGATCCCGACCCTGACGACGCCTGCTGCTGCTGTATATTTGGAATTTGAATTTCTCTCGCTCTCCCCACGGCCGCGTGGATTTTTCTCTGCGGGTCCCTCCGGTTTTTCCCCTTCAATCAACGTTACCACGCGTTTAGAGTGTTTGGCCACTATACATTTCCACGCGACAATGACGACGACGACGACGACGACGACGATGATGATGATGACGAGCCGCTTGGTTGAGCTATCGTGCAGGAGGCCGTGTGTGGTTTAGATCGCGCGTGAGTGTACGCACGTCGTGTCGTTAATCATGCCACCAACCGCACACGCGCACACACACAACAACAACAACATCACCACGACGCTTGTGCCAGGCCATGTGCACCTTGAGGCCACGTGAAGTGTTGAACGCCCGCTGGCAGGAGGTCACGGGGCAGACCCAGCAGGTGCCACGGGTCGACTGACTGAGATGACTGGCTGGTGCACCACCTGTGCCCCCTACTGTGCCAACCTGCTGTGCTTTAGCCACCCGGCGCTCCGCTCGTTGTTGTGAGCGTCGCTCCTCCGCCCTCCGTTGTTGTTGGAGGGCGACTGCCTCCAACTGCCCAGTAGCGTCCTTCACGAGCCTCCTCCACAGAGGCCGATCTTGACACCGCTGGTACCAGTCATCGGCAAGTCCACTCAGCTCCACGTCCTTACCACATCACTCCATCTCCTATCTAGCCTGTGCCGCGCCCGTTTAGCTCCCTCGATCCGGCCGAACAAAAGCTGTTTTGGCATGCGGTGGCTGGGCATGCGGGCTACATGACCCAGCCGACGCAGCCTTGCCTGCCGGAGGAGCTTACCGATGGGACCTTGCCCAGATCTTTCAAAGATTTGTGAGCTCCTCACACAATCCAGCCTGGTTAAACCCAGGATGGATCGTAGGCAGGCCAGCCTAAATGTTTCTAACCGGCGAAGATTTTCCATTAAGGGGGTCCACGTTTCGCAAACGTAGAGAAGGGAGGGAATGACCGTGGCCAAGAAGACCTGAAGCTTAGTGCGGAGCAACAGACCAGGTAGCTTCCACACAGCGTTACGCAACCGATGAAAAGATATTGCCGCTCGACTGATTTGGAGTGAGACCTCTGCTGTTAAACTGGAGCCGGTCATAAGCACACTGCCCAAGTATGGGGAACTCTCCACAACTGCCCCATCACCGATTGGGAGTTGTGGGGGTGGAGTGT